TCGCATTGTGCACAGACTCGTACAATCCCTCCAGTTTCTCCGGTGCGCTCGTCGTCGTTGGGTTCCTCACCTCCTCAGCAGCTGCATTCAAGAAATGTTTATTGGAGTTATGAACAGCTGCTTTTACCTCCGCAGCAGCCAATGACCACCCCGGTAGATTGTTGACACCCTTATCGCAAAGCTTGCGTATATCCTCATCGAAGATCACTTCACCCTTTACAGCTCGCCTCATACTCAAATAACGACCTGATGCCTGTATCTCGTTCAACGCTCCTTTATCACGGATATACTTCGTGGGGTCATTGAAAAACTCCTCCGGCAAAACATCCCGTTTGGTGTCCACAACGCCCCTGCCGTCCAGTTCCCTCGTAAGAAAGTCGTTCAGCTTCATTACGTTGACGCGGACTGTTCCTTAAACAGTACGTCTTCGATATTAGTGGAAATGGTAAATTTCATTTCCTGCGTTCGTCTTAGCCTTTCCTCTGCCTCCCGCCTCGCTTCTGTCAGTACCTGCGTGAGTACTCCGTTTGGTTTTCTCCTTGCAGGAGGAGTGATCGTATCCTTTTCTTTCATAGTCCCTACGTTGCCCAAGAGAGAGCACACCTTCGTGAAGAGGCTTAGTAATGGCCTCCAGCGCTTGGTGCGCAGTTAAGTTAAGAATTTCCTCAAGAAGCCGCTGGTCTTGTAAGTAGTCATCCGGCTTCTGAGCAAATACTTCCATCGTCACATTGCAGTCTTTCATCAACAGCCGCCCTGCCGCCAACATAATTCCAAAGGAAATCACTCAGCCTCATGTTGGTGCTGCTCATGGTCCACTGCGGCCATACTTCACTCCCCATCACATGTCGAGCCGCAGCGTCGGAACCATCACGAGAGCCACGGCGAGGTGCCATCACAACACCCGTGTGGTGAAGCGCCCCACTCGCACCACGCAACTGCGGCCAGCAGATGCCGCTGGCTCCAAAGGACAGTCGCGGCTGTTTCCTCCCGCAGTCCCAATGGCGTTGGGCGTGGCACTCGCACGGCTCGGTGGTCGGTGCGCCATGCAGCCGCACTGCAACGCCTGTCGGTGAGGCAGCCGAGACGTGCAACCAACCACAACACCGCCACACCATCGCCTTTTTTTATTTTGTTTTATTCACGTTGTCCGTCTGTTTGCCCCATCACCGACATCAAAAACAAGTGCACACCTTCAAAAAGGGAAGGAACAAAAAGAAAAGGAGGCACGATCCCACCGTTCCACCGCGGGCCAACACTCTCCTCCACCCACCACCATCGCCGCGCAGGGGACCGCAGTCACATCGCAGAGTCAACACCACAATGTGCACCACACCATCGTGCAGCGAACGATGGGCGAGACGCGGCCACGCATCGCCCCGCTCCATTTTCCCACCTCTCAAGTATTGTGTGCCCGCACAAAGTAGCAAACAGAATCAGAGCGCACACAAACCCAATCAACACCCTCACTCGCTAAACCAAATTATTCGCATGGAGTGACAACATTTGGGGACACACCAGAAGTAGCAGGCCGCACGGAATTTCCCTGCCAACACCGCGAAGAGACACAACAACTCTGCGAATTAAAGTGGCAGCCCCTCGGTGTTGCCCGCAGCTCACATGGCAGGGCAAATTCCACGCACGCATAGTTCCAGATTCCTCGCTGTTTGAGTGGCCAACAGAACATGTGAAAAAAATACGTGCGCGCAAGATGGAATTAAATATGTGAAATGTCGGCCTGCTTTGTTTGATGGCGTTGGCGAGCAGTCCCACACAATCCAATCAAAGTGGCACGCCGGACAGAATGGCGTCAGCCAATAATAAACAAAAATAATTGCGCCAATGCAAAAAGCAGCAGAAATTCGGGTTTTACCCCCGAATTCGGAAACGGTAGTGGCATGAGAGTGTGCGTGTGTGCAAGACCCTTCGTGGGACGGTGCTCCCCAATCCCGCCGTGCCCTGACAAAAAAGGGCAACAGAAAAAAAAAAAGAGGAGCACACTCTCCAGAAAAGGAGCGACGGTTGGGCAGTCAACCCCCGTTCCTTCTCACGTGGCATCCACATATGTGCACTCCATCTAAAACACGTACCTCACTGGACGCCGCATGCATGAAGTGTGGTTTCTTCACCCGCAATACGTTTTTCCTCACGCAAACAACCAAAATAATAATAATAATAATGGCCATTGCGCAGATCCACTCAGGGGAAGCAATCGGAACAGACACGAGTGGGGCCAGGGATCATACCAAAAAAATATATCTAAAAAGGAGGGGGCAATAACTGCTCCAAGCCACAGAATCGTGCAGTGTCCATCCCTCTTCCTCTGAATTCAAGACCTCCTCAACAGAACAAATGCAACAGACACATGCGCAGCACAATATCTTTCGCTATCCCGCGTTAAATCTTACTTCCCATGCGTGCCACGGCGGTGGTTGCGTTAAACCTGGGATGACTCCAAAATATCAAACGCCATGCTGTGGAGAGTGGATGCTTGACAAATGTGCCCGCGTCAGCGTATAGCACGAAATGGCACCAAAAATAAAAAACTATTCGCGACTCAACCTACCCGTGTGTGACCGCAACAAAGCAACACTGAGACATGTGTGGAGCAACGCAAAAAAGAAAAAAAAAAAGAGAGAAGAAAATAATAATGGAATAATCCACAAAAACATATCAATATATAAATGCACAAAAAATACATCAACCCGCAAAGTTTCCGTCA